AGAAAATTATGAAAAGAAAGTTAACCAATTAGAAAAGAAGATCCAGAATCTTAAGGAAGAAAATGCCGCCTTAAAAATTAGAATCGGGCAAGGCAAAGCCAGCAAAATTGTAAGAGATCAAGATATAATTAAACAAAGCATAAAGGATTAAAAAATAGAGAAAGTGAAACATCCTATAAGAAAAATAATTGATTTGGAGAACAGATCAAGAAGAGGAAACATAAGAATAATCAGGCTACCTGAAGGCTATGATCAAAAATGGAATGTTGATACAATAATACAAGAAATAATTAAAGAAAATTGTCCTGAAGCATTAGAACAAGGGGGAGAGTAGAACTAGAAAAAAATCCATCGATTACCACTTGAAAGAGAGCCTATGAGAAGAACTCATAGGAATATTGTAGTCAAATTCCAAAACCCCCAGCTCAAGGATAAGATATTAAAAACAAGAAGAAAAAAATAATTTAAGTATGATGGTGCCACAATTAGACTCACACAAGACCTAACAGTAGGGACACTAAAGGACCACAGGTTTTGGAACACTATATATTGAAAAGAAAAGAGCCAGGGCTTCTGCTGAAAATATCATACCCACCAAAGTTAAGCATGATCCTGAATGAAAAAAATGGGCATTGGATCATCTGTAAGATTTTTAAGACTTTACTTTAAAAAAAACCAAACAAACCTAAAAACAAACCACCTGAACTTAATAGAAGATTTGACATACAAAAGCCAAGAGAAACATAAGGTACATACCAAAGATTGGTTACAAGGGATTCTATAAGGACAGACCATTTACTTTTTATATATGTAAAATTTAAATGTATGTCTAAGACTGTCATTAGTAATTGGGTAGTTTGTAAGAAAGATTGGGGTAGACTTGAGTATGATATGATTTAAAAAGTTAAAACCATTTAGGAACAGCTAAAAATAGTAATTATTTTATATAAATGAGGTGCAAGAAGAATAATCTATACAGAGGAATTAGATGGGGGAGAAGGGTTGGTAGTTCTGGTAACCTACTTTCATCTGGAATGGGTTTAAGAGGGAACAATACATATATATCTAGAGAGTATAAAAGCCTTCTAAATTCAGATGAAATAAAATGGTAAGGTGATAGAGAGAGGGAAGGGAGCATGGAGGGGTAAGGTGATAGAGAGAGTAAGTCAGCAAAACCAGGTCTAGAATTTCATCAGTGACATTTGGAGTGAATGAAATACAAGGAGGGTAAAAAGTGGTTCTAAAAAAAAAATAATATCGTTTAAGCTCTTAGGAAAGCATCTTTCACAACTATAGGAATACTGTTACAATCTGAGTAAGAGTGATATCCATATCTTTTCATCCCATTCTTCCTTGATTTTCTTTAATTGTTACCTCCAAATTTTTTAAAAAGGTGTCTTTTATGAAATAATAAGTTGGTATAATATGTATGTGTATATGATTCACTGCACCGGATATGCCAGGACTTAAATACAAAGGTGTAGACTTGCAATTATCCAGGGAGTGTAATTAGAGAGAAGTGATTAAAACAGTAGTCTTTTTCATGTTCAAAAGAGTAAACCTTGTCAATACTATTGAAGCTAAACACCATTCCTATTTTTGTAAATGCTGGAAATATTTGTTACTATGGGTTTTCATATGAATCGTCCTGTTTGTGGGATACAAAATGTGTAACTAAAATTAGGGAGATGAAAATAATATGACTGTTATTGGGAGAACAAAACTAATAATACTTATACAAATCAATGAAAACGGCTAGGGACATTTATTACTCTGCTACAGTGGCTTGTTATCAGTCTGAATAGGGATATATGATGTTTGAGATAGCATTTTTTTTCCACAAACACTCAAGGAAGAATCAGACTAGCCATGATCTATTGTTATTAGAATGGGTACAACCATGGTTTATCAGGGAGTCCTTATTTCATTGTGAAAAACTCATTATTGGTAGTGACTTGTTAGTTCCATTTTAAAAATTATTTCAGTGCCACTGTCAATTGTTATAACTGTCAACTACTTTATGTGTTAAGTTGGCACTGTTGCCAAGTTGTATACTTTGAGCCTTTGGGGACTTGTCTAAATATTACCTAGAGAATAATCATATAAGTATCTTGTTTTATAATATGCCTCTGTGTATATATGTCTGTGCTCAATGCCTCAAGAATCTCTGATTTCATTAGGGCACATATCAGTGTACCATATCAGTACACACTTCTTCCACTGATGAAAATCTTTACCCTGTTATACCTGAGCAGATAATTTTTTAAAATAAGTTGTGAGTGAAAAATATCTATCAACCAGTAGTCAACTTCTAATAATGAGTCTCTTATCAGTGAAACTTTCCACCCTAAGGAAATGTTAGCTATTACTACTACTACTAGTACTACTACTAGTACTACTACATTTTAAGGCATTCTAACAAGGAAAGAACTAGATGGACAAAAGGCTATAAATATTTAGAGATTGTAGAATTCATGAAGACGTATCTTTTGTTAATTTTAAAGGTTCAATTTTGTATCTAAAAGGTAAAAGGTGTTCTGTATCAAAAAATCTCCAGGTTGAGCTATTCATGAGCTTTAACCCAAGTAGCAATTTTCAGTCAGCTGAAACAATGACTAACCCTGGGCTTTCATGTTAAAAAAAATGTAATCAGAAAGGTCAATGAGAAAATAGGGAACCTAGCAGTGTCAGGTAATGTCTTTACTCCAGAAGGAAGTCAAAAGGAAAAGGGTGAGGCTCCAGAGAGAAAATATCATAACAGGAAGGTTTTGTTCCAAAAGAAAGGTTTTCCTGATTAATACTAACTGTTGAAAGCTCAAAGGAGTCACTATCTGGGGCATTGCTACCTTATGGCTCTCAACAAAGCAAAGAATAAAAAGGCAGTGCTAACTCTAAATTATACACATAGGGTACTGTTTGATTTATATACAGGCCTTTAACTCAGCAATAGGTTGTCTTTCAAACTGTCTATTTGTAAGTTGGCTTACCTGGAACACATTTTCCACAGTAGCAGTGCTATAAATGGTGGCTAAATTCTCAGTTCTGCTCATTCTAGTCTAGGTTACTCACAATGTACCTTAAGTATAACACCAGTCACTTGAATTCATCTATCATTTTCTATCTTGTGAGAATGGAAAGTCTGTTCAGAATTTTAACTACTCTTCCCCTCTTTTGTCACTGAGCAATCTCCCTCACTTTGCATAACCCCTGGTGGAAGCTTTTTATCATAGTTTATATTTAAGTACTGACAATAATTGTTTACAAATAATGTCACATATATCAGTTGAGCCTCACAGCAAGGCTATGTAGCAAGTAGTAAAAATATTAACTCCATTTTACAGGTAGAGAGGCAGCATAGAATAAGAGGTAGAATGCTGGCCACAGTGGCTTGGGTTCAGGCCTTGTTTCTGACATATACTTTTTGCAAGACCCTGGGAAAGTAATTCTCACTTTCAGTGCTCCAGACCACAGGTGTCAAACCTGCAGCCCTCAGACTTTGAGGAAAGCAACACTCCTAAACCAGATTAAAATGTAAGTGGGAAACAACTAAATAAATGAAAATACAATAAAACAGAATTAACATTACATATTAAAATTGTTGATATGTGTCTCACAGAAATCCTTACATATGGATTAGTGACCTCTGTTTCTATTTGAAATTTACACCACTGCTATGGATAACAATGACAATAATAATGGTGATGGTGATGGTAGCTGGCATTTATAGAGAGATTTAAGGTTTACAAAGTACTTTACAAATAGGCTCATTTTATCCTCACAACAAGCCCTGTGAGGAAGGTGTCATTATTACTCCCTCCACCCCTACATTTTACAGATGAGGAACTTGAGGCTAAAACAGGTTTAGTGACTTGCCCAGTGTCACATAGCCACCAAATGTTTGAGGCAGGATTTGAATTATGGTCTCCTCAACTACAGGTCCAGCCTCCTATTTATCCACTGTGCCAGCTAGCTGCCTCTAGGCAATTCTAAGACTATAAGTTGCAGAGAATGTAATAACTTATATTGGTAGAGAGTGCTTCCTCAGCTGTGAGTTCCCTACTCCTATCAAATCTCAGGCCCAATACCTCTCCACACCCTGTTTTACAGGTGAAAAAACTAAAGCCCAGAAAGTAGATGTGAATTGTTTTCCTAGGTCATGAGTAGGGGAGGGAGTCAAGTCTCAAACGCAGATTGTCTAATTCCAGGCTCAATAATGTTTATGCAAAATTATCCCCTAAAGAACCAAAGGATTTGAAAGAATTGAACAATGAAGGCCGAATAAAGCAAAAAGAAAAGATGCAGAGTCCCAGCCTCAAAGAAAATAAAATTGCTATAGCATCAGCATATTGTTTTGGTGTTTCCTACTTAGTTGCCTTTCTTTCCCTCTAACCCTGGTGAGAATCAATATGGAGTGAGCCTGGTCCAAAGGTCTGCACATGATAATCAATTAAGGGAGTTGGCTTAGAGCAGTGAATGAAGCTCATTCTCTAGCAGAGGAAATTCCCCAGCTGCTGGCCACCTAGGTGGCCACTAACAAAGGAATTTTATTTTAATGCATCCCTTCCAAAACTATGCCACAAAGCCCTTGACAAGAGCATGGAGAAAAATTAAGTCCATCTCAAAAAATCCTATAAAGGTATAAACTCTGGCCCCCTGAAATGCCTGGTGCTTTGGGAAGGCACTGCCCATATGCATCATGCTGTTAGAGCATCTACATTGAAGGTGATTCTACTCCTATCTATATGTTTTCTGAATATTCCAAAGGATATTTATGCCAGCCTGACCCTCCCCCTACTCTTTATCTAAGTTAGAATCAGGCATGTCTCCACGAAAATTGCTCAGGTTTGAACTGCCCCCTCTCTTAAAATAGCATTACTTTCCAAAAGGAAACTCAATGCATGTTTCTGGATTATGTGGTTTCAGAGCCACCATTCTACTAATATTTACTCTGGAAATTAATTTGACCTTATCAAACCTTCGGGAGAAGTAGGTTCACTAACCTGTGCTTTGGAGACCACAGCAAGTAATCTTGGCATTATTGTCATTAACATGGTGCAAAGACCAAAGATAAAGTTTAAAGAGATGTAAGAGATGAAAGCCACATCAGAACTGGAAAAGATTCGGGATAGAAGATACATCCATGGTAGAGTGGCATAACTACAAAAGAAAATGGACAAGAATATAGCATTATTAGACAATTACTGCAAATTCTATTATAACATATTTACAACTAATCTATGCATAAATTAGACCTGTGGTTCCACTGACATAAGGAATTCTCAGATTATAAAGAACTTCCATAAACACAGATCAGCAGCTTCATCACCTGCTTTAGTAGAGCAGAGAGAATTTACGTGATATGGCCATGGAGAAACAGGCAGGACAAGAACCCAGGTCTTCTTGACTCTAAAATCACCTTCTATCCATTATAATATGTTGTCTCCTTATATATTACTTATCAACATCCATATGTACATATATAAAATACTGTTCACATAAGAGATTATAAGCTGCATAAATTAGTTAATTTATAAATTGTCGAAATGGCCTTTCGTTTCATCAAACAAAGGAGAAAACCATCTCTAACATTATCCACAGGTCCCTGAAGTCCAAATTTGATATGCAGGATAACATAAAGTGGAGTTAAAAAGATGCACATTGAAATCTAACCATGCTGTTCTCTGGAAAATTTTCCCTAGCATCAGCTAGGAAAGTGCTCAATAAGTCCTTGAAACAAACAGGTTTTAAAATAATAATAATAACTTCTTGGATGAGCCAAGGATCTGGAGTCCTGGCTTCATTTGGCTTTCCCACTCAGTTTCTTGATTTTTCAGAACCATTTCAGCCAGTTACAGGGAGCTGACATTTAGAACTATATTCCTTCAGAATGCCACCTGAGGAGAATGTGACTTTAACTTTGAAAGCATTGCCATTTCCCTAAGAGTTCCACATATCAGCCCTTCCTTCTCCTTTAACCCCCCTCCCCACCCACCTATGCACAAGATAACAGTACTGTCAGGATGTGTGTCATTTTTATCATGGAATGACGTATTACTTTAGCCTGCACAACCTCAGTGTGGTTTAAATAACTGAGGTTTTCCTAATGTTTTACCAGTCCCTGAAAATGATGACAGTGCAGCATGAAGTGAATGATGCCAAATCCTTAAGAGCTGCCAAAGATACAGATTTCTTAGTGTGTTCCCTGTATTCTTAAGACATCCATTATGTTCTGAATTCATTAATCAGTCACACTGTGGCATTCATACATTTCAAAAAATAACAAGTCAAAAATGTCACAGATGAAGTTATATGAATTTCTTACAAATGACATGTAGTATCCATCAGCCTCATAATTGGGGGAGGAAAATTTTAGAAGTTCCTTACTTATAAGGCATTCAGAGAACAGAGAATGTATTCAACGAAAAGCTTTAAAGTAATGACTATGTAAAAAAAATCACATTAGGAAACAAGCTAAAGACATTCACTCCCTTATAATATCTAAATTATGACTTTCAGATAAATGGGAATGTCTGAAAATGGAAGCACATACACTTATTGACATTTCTAGATGCATAAAAGTATAAATTGAATCTATGCATTTCCTAAAGCACAGGTCTGGATCATATCACTCTATGGTTCAAAAAAAAAATGAGTGGCTTCCTTCTGCTACTAGGATAAAATACAAACTCTTCTGTTTGGCATTAAACTCTTACAGTACAGATGTCAAACACGTGGCTGCAGGTTGCTCCCTTCGTGAACCACATTAAAATGTAATGGGGAAATATTTAACAAAATAAATAACAATACACAAGAACACAGACAGTGTTAATGCAGTTTTCTAAGCCAATACGTAGCCCACAGGAATCCTTTTATATGGGTTAGTCACCCCCATTTCTATTTGAGTTTGACACCACCACTTTACAATCTGGGTCCACTTGACCTTGTTATATCCTACTGTACTTCATACACTCTGTATTCCAGCCAAACTGCCTTATTAGGTGATCTTCACACACAATAACCTGTATCTTCTCTCAGTCTACAAATAGTCTGTCTGCTATATCTGGAATGTACTCCCTCCTCACTTTCTCTTCTTAGACACCTTCAGATGCAGCTCAAATGTCATTTTCTAAAGAAAATTTTCTTGATTCCCTCCCCATGTTAGTACATTTACAAAAAAAAATAAAATAAAATCCTACAAAAACCTTGTACATAATTGCATTTTCTTATGTTTATGTGTGTACTCATAGGGCAACAATTACTTCATTCATATCTTTGTATCATCAGCTCCCTAACACAGTGCTTGATACATAATAGATGATCAATGATTGATTGATTAGAAAACATATATTGAGTTTTCTAAAGACTATCTTAAAATTGAAAATATGTAGGTGGTCAGAAATTTCATTTATTCTATAAACAAACTTTAAAAAGCAATGTCTGCCTTGAGAAAGTTGCTAGACATGGCACTGAGAGCCAGAAGATATAGGTTTTGCTCTCAAGGAATTTGTAATATCTCTGTCTACAGTAAAAATTTATTTTAAGGAACATGCAGCCCTGGAATGCCCTTAGACACACTCATGCAGGCAGAATACCTATAGTGTACTCAACATGGTACTCATACTGTCCCCTTCTCTTCCTCTGAGCCCCAACCTTCCTTTAAGCTGATGAAAGCCTTTAACTCACAACCATCCTTAACAGGGCACTGGGAAAGTAACACATTCTTTGAGCAAGAGGGAAATATTACCAACATTGGACTCATCCAGTGACAAGCAATTCCCTTATTCCAAAGAACAGCAAAATTCCTCAGGTTGACTCTCTGGGCATGGTAGACATGCCCAGACAAGTCTTCACTCAAAAGGATTCAACTTTCTCCGATCAGCTTCCAGAAAAGCAAAACCTCTTCTTCAGAAAGCACAGTTCATGGTAAAACATGCAAAATTTGTCTTCTCTTTGTTTCTCCTTCTGAAACTACAAAGGTCAAGTAGAGGTGAGCCAGTAACTCTTTAAAGTTTCCCATCTCTAAGGTTAGATGGTGTTATAGAGCCATAAGCTAAACAGCTCTAAATATATCAGCAGGCTTTAGCTCTCCTCCAGTCAGCACAGGTGCTGAAATGCTCCCTCAGCTGAAGTACCCTTTCTGCAGTCAGTTATCAAAGCAGTGCCGGCCCCTCTTCCAGTCAACATGCTTGTCTATTAGCCTTCAATATCTTCTGCCTTCAGCTTTTTCTGACTCCCTCACCTCATCAGTTTCTTCCCCTACATCTTTCTTTCTTTTCCTCTAGCTTTTCTCTCTTCTGTCTTCTCTTGCCTTACATGTTCCAATGTCTCAAATCAGATCCTTCTGGTGGTCAGTTACTTATCTTTGCCTTAGCAAGTAAAACTCGAGAAACAGACTTTCAGTTATAACCCATCAGTCCTTGTAACATCTTCCCACAGTCCTCAAAAGCAATTTCACTTGTGACTTCACAGTTATAAACCTTAAAACTCTAAAAATAGAAAATGCAAAGGAGCTGATGGACCACAATACCCTGCAGCTAACATTATGCCAGTTGTTACTCTAACTTCAAAAAGGTCTTCTAGTATATTCATCTGAGGGGCAATTTTTTGGACTTCAGCAGTCTATCTCCTCAATACTGTTTCTTTACAAGTTGGTTTATCAGTCTTCCATACATAAATGTTCTTTTTGATTCTCTTCAACAACCAAACTACTTACATACAAAGAGCAGAAGGGAGGCAATACTTTATATAAGTAACCAATGGAAAATCACCAACTGTAGAGTCAGAGGACCTGGATTCAAACCTCATCTCATTTTCACTATCTGTGTGACCTTGTGCCATTTATTTAATCTTTCTTGTCTCCATTTCTTCATTTGTAAAATGAATGGCTGATTGAACTATATGGCTCCTAATGTCCCTTCCTGCTCTACATATTGTAATCTTTTGATTTGTAGATATGTTAGTTATGATTACTTTTTTCTTCTAACAAATAAATTGATAAACAGAATCTTAGAATTAGAAAGGGCTTCATAAAACATCTACCCCTACCTCCCTTTGAATGCAGGAATTCCTTCTATAACATCCCTTATAGATAGTCAACCATCCCTTACTTGAACTCTTCCATAGACAAAGACCTCATTGCTTTATGCATCAATCTTTTCTATTATTAAACAGCTTGAATTGTAAGAAAGTTGTTCTTTTTAGTCAGTCAAAATATGATTCACTGTAGCTTCCAATAATTGGCTTAGTTTTATATTTGGTAATACATGCTGACATTTTTTTTGTTCCCTTTCTACATGCTAGTCTTCCACGTTTTTGAAATTACCTAGATTTCCCCAAAAATCTTTTGACAGTTTATTATATGCTATTCAGAGTGCTTACCAATTATTTATGATCATCTGATTTGTCTCATTCTTGCTCTGCTCACCTTAAATACAGTATCAGTCCAGAAATGAACACAAATAGAATCTGACTTTGAGAGACCCCAATGGACACTAAATACAGACAAGACATCTGAATGACAATTCCAGTTCCAACAAGATACAACATGTGTAATTCTCAAATTGCTTATGTGTATATATAATATATAATATAATATAATAACACTTTTATTACCTCTCTCTCTAAGACAGCTAATGACAGGAAGTTGTAGCTAGGTGCCACAATGCATAGAATTCTACCCTAGAGTCAAAAAGTTCTGAGTTCAAATCTGCCCCCAGACTCTTCCTAGCTATGTAACTCTGGACAAGTCACTTATTCTATTTACTTCAGTTTCCTCAACTGTAACATGAGAAATGTAAAGTATTTAGCACAGTGCTGGGCACATAGTAAGAGTTATATAAATACTATTATTACTGTAAATAATTTAAAAACCAGAGTTTTCTTGATCTGAGTACCACCTGTCCTTTCTAATACTATAATCTGTATTAGCTAATAGGCCTCTTTAGTCCAACCCTGTCATCATACAGATGTGGAAATTAGAGCTTAAAAATGTTAAATGACTGTACAATGCCACATAGATAGTAAGAAGCAGAACCACTATTCAAACCTACCTCCTCTCCCTCTAGATATCATATTCCTTCTACTACACTGAACTTCATTAGGAGTGAGATTAGACTAGAGCCTGTAAAGTCCTTTCTGATACTTAAGATTTTATACAGCTTTTCATTTGCTAAAATGAAAAAAAATTTTAGATAATAATTTACTTGTTTAAGATCTTATACCCTGGGGAGGGAAGAATATATATATATATACATATGTATATATATATATATATATATATACATATATATATATATACATATGTATATGTATATATATACATATATATATACATATATATATATGTATATGTATATATATATATACACACACATATATGTATATGTATATGTATGTGCATGTGCATGTGTATGTATGTATGCATGTGTATATGTATATGCATGTGTATGTATATGTGTATATATGTATATACACACATATATACATATGCATACGTATACATATATACATATGTATGTGTGTATAAATTAAAGACCATATTCTAGCTACCTATAACATAATTTATATGTACATGTACTGTGTATGTATGTATACATGTACATATGAGTATATATACATTTCTCTGTATATACACATACATATATGTGTATATATGTATATATGTGATTTAGTTACTATACCCCAACATATTTTATTTGATGAAGAGATTAGAACTATAAAATGTTCAATTTACTGAGAACTATTAATTTTCCATTAGTTTCTAGAAAGTAATTGGGGCATCATAAGGTGAGTATATCCTGTTTATACTTTTTTAAGTATAAAAAAGCGAGCATTCAGACAAACCCCAACTGGTCACTAATATCACAGGAAGCAAAATAGGATATTTGCAAGGCATAGAAGTTCATGATGGAAACACCTCCATTGCAATTTCAGGACTAACAATTTTCCTAGTTTAAACACCTAGATTAGTCTCAAAGTGACGATAAGACAGAATCTATTTCATATAGTATAACATTATCAAACAGCTGGAGGGCCTTTCTGAGATCAGGACAGTGCAGTTCTCATTATGAGTGTATCAATTCTCTCCCTCTTCCCACAGAGCATTCATCATCATGCTGGAGCTTGTTTTCTCAATATCTCTCACATAAGCATAATTGCTGGAAGAGAGAGAAAACCACGCACCCAACAGCAGTTTCGAAGAAATCCTAGGGTTTTTCTTTTGCAAGGAACACACCATAATTCCACAGTGGCATTTCCAATCACATACCCGAAAAGGGCCAGCAGGAGGGCAGTGGCTGCCAAGTTCTCTCGGAAAGTGAAGGCTGTTAGCTTGAAAGCAACAATAACTCCAATACTCAGGCTGACTGAAACCAGGTAAAATAGCTTAAAGAAAAAAACAGCAAACAGCAGATCAGATGAGTTCTTTATCATTATCTACTTATCTTGGAGGGGCCCCTTCATCTTGCATTCATAATATTTTCCTTTCAAGACATTTTATGCATGAAGGTTATCCTCCCAGCTGAATATCTATAATTTTGTATCTGACCTGAGCAAAAGCATTTAGGAGGCCTTGAGTATAATATTTAAGGGCCTACATTTTTTAGGAACGCATTATGAACCAAAGAACTTATTTAAATCATCAATTAATTTAAATAATTATACATTTCCTAAGGAATGTGTATTATTTTAAAAAATTTGAAATGGTTTGATAGATATTTTTAAATTTTGGTCAATATCACATGACTAAGGTTATGTTATCAAGCTTTACTATGCATATGGGTCAATACTATTTGAAAGATGACTGAACACCTTTTTCTCATTCACAGGACAGTGCTAATATTGAAAATCAAGAATGCATATTAATGAGGAAGACTCTTCATAGCACTCAAGATTTTTTTATGTGTGTTCAATCCCTTAGAAATGAAGGGAAAAAAACCCAGCACATACATCCATCAATTCCCTGTTGATTATCCTTTCAAATGTCAAAAGAATTCATCTAAAAGTTTTTCTGTACTAACTGAATCAGTAAATGGGAGCTGAAATTCTGTACATATTTACTTAGTTGCAATGAGACCAGAGGTCAAATTGGAGAAGTTATACATTAAGAAGAAAAGACAGTTCTAATAATTTTATACAAGCTTTAAAAGGCAATAGAATTTTTTATCTGACCTCACTTTAAGTATTCATTCGATGGTTACTTTGCAAGCTGCAGTATATCAGAACATGATTTTGCTGGTTCTAAAATACACTTCAGAGCTAAAAGAACACTTATACATGATCCAGTACAATCCCTTCCTTCATTTTATGGAGGAGAATGTGGAGTCTAGGGATGGTGAGTGAGTTGGTCGAGATCATGGAGGTAATAAGGAGCAGATCAGGGCTTTGAACACAGGACTTGGCTCACTCTACTCCCAGGTGTTCTTTCCTCCAGTGGGAAAAGCCACACTTTATTTATTGTTATCTATTTTGAAATGACAGTGTTGTTTATCTGGCCATGGTTATTGATTGATGTTTTCCCCAAAAGAAATGATTGTGCTACAAATCTTAGAAACTCCTGGGCATAGCACAGAAATCTTTCTTCTGAAAGGAGAGTGAAAGGCCAGGAAGCAATGAGGCAATTTGAAAGTAAGCCTAGATGTGCTTAAGAAGCAAGCCTCATTCAGTTCTCAAGACAACCCAGATGCTAGCAAAGGTTCTTCTGGTTGGGGTAAATGTTTAACAACTGGCTTTCTCAGTTAAAAAAAAAAATGTGTCTGTAACATGCCTTTAAGCTTAATGTGCCTTAATAGCATTTTCTCCATCATTTTCTTAATTCTAGACAAACAGCAAAATAATAAATCAAGCCCTAATTGGCAGCATTTGCTGATTTCTGAGGTATAGCTATTTGCACTGAAAATTTAAAAATCAGTTTTGCTGGGCCTGTATAGGCCAGCACCAACACACCCCTAGAAGAATAGGAAGTAAAAAATACACAGTCTGCAGTTTGCTTGAAATTTAGAGTTCAACCGGTAAGTGGGGGGAAAATGCATCCTTCCAGATCTAGATGCCAATTTATTGTCTAGGAAACAAGCTTCCTTCCATTATAACAACAATTAAAAAAAAACCAAACTGACACTAATATAATGCTTTAAATTCTATTAAGTAATTTCCCTAAAAAAATCTGTGAAGGACAAGTATTGTTATCCCCAGTTTATAGACAAAGAAATTGAGTTTTAGAAAGGTAAAATAACAACCAGAGTCACATAGTTTCTAAGTGACAGATGAAAACTCAAGTCCAGAGCTTTAGAGAGCCATCAGCAAAATTGGAGAAGGCTGATGATGCCTGTGGTTGCATGTACAGTCAGCCTTAAGATCCTTCTAAAGTGGGGTTAATTTTAGCTGAAAATCTGAGTTGTGTGAAGCCCGTCTCCAAATTCCTGGTGATAAAAAAGGACAGTCATCAGTTTCCTCCTCTATCAAATGAAGGGGTTGGACTAAATGATCTCTATCGTCCGTTCCAGCTCTAAATCCTATGAGTCCTTTGGAAACCTACCTATTTATCTGTCACATACTGAAATAAAACTATAAACACTGTCCATGAAATTGCACCTTATTTTCTAAATTGTCTGAGGTAATCGGATCTCCCAACCCACTTAGCAGCTAGCCCATATCCACAAATCCTATTTCAGTAACATACCATATCATAAATGAAATTAGTAAACCAATAGGTCCTATAGCCAAGTCCACTGATGTGCTGCAACCTCTTCGCTCCACACACTCGGTCTTTTACTATGGAACTGCCAATCGATGCTGTGAGGATTGAGAAACCCAGCATGATGCAGAGTGCAACTCCACACTGGCGGACACTCTCCAGTCTACAAGCAAAGTAAAAACAGTCAGGGCTGCATTTGATGAAGTACAGACTTCTGAATGCATGTCTTTTCACTCATTCATTCTTCAGTGCTTCTAAAGTTAAAGTGGGAGCATCATCAAAATGAAAGAAGAGTAGGCTTAAAAAGGTATCCCTATTTCTTTTTTACTTAGAATTAAAGCTAGTGACAAATGGAATAGTGACAATGATTATGCTTAATCTTGTGTATATAATTCCAGATGCCTTATAAATCTCCTTCCAACTCTTGAGTTCCTGGGATTTTCACCTATATTCAAGTATTACTATAGAACACTACTAGTACATAATGAAATTCTATATAATATTCATATGTTTGGGCTCAAAAGTATTTTCAATAATCATCCACTGGTAAAACAAGGGAAAAGTTCATTAAGATCTAGCCGTTCCTATAACATATACTCCACTGACCTTACTATAGAAATATTCTAGGGTAATCATTATTGAAACCAGCATCAACTATGAATATAAAATTAGTTATTAGAAGGGGAATAAAAGTTTAAGGAGAAGAATTATCAGAACAAATGAAGATTGTATGTGTTACTTAGACATATAACTCTAACATGAACCTCAAAATTTAAAGACAAAGCATATTTTTCTTGTATAAGGGAATGAACATTGACAGTTCCCTCATCTGGGGCATATGTCAACTGCTGAGAAAAGGTAAACAACTCAGCAACTGATTTTCTTCTTTATATTTTCATGTATTATTGCTTAGAGGTAGAGAAAATGAAGAAGAATGCTGAAAAGAAAGAGAAAGTTTTTCGCCAACTTTGGGATAGCAGTAATCACATTTTCAAAATAAAATAATATTCCTAAAGTTGTCAGTATCCTTTAAGCTGGAGTGATGGATAACTACTGTTGTTGTTGAGGAAGTCCAGCTGAGCAGAAGAATTAGGTTGGGATCAGAATATTCACCAAGCAGATTGACTCATTTAGCTGAGATGTCATGTCCCATGGGGGTTAATCAGGCACAATATGGATAAACTATGCTTTGCAATAGAAGTATCTTTTCAACAAATAATCTTAACTTGTCAAAGAATTTTTATGAACCTTTCTTCATGTAGAAAGAGGACATAGAGGTTGGCTATTCCAGACTTGTAAATTACCCTGAGGTTTTTAGTTTTCCCAATTATGTGATTTCCTGTCAGGTTTCTGTGTGTGCCCATTCTTTCCCACAAATAATTAATGTATTGATGGAAGCGTGTGACTCAGGATCATGTGTGGATTGTGTTTGTTATTCCTCTATTTGCTTCAAATGAGTATCCTGATATTAAAATTATTCTTGTTTTCAACTTATTAAGTGCATGGTTATATTTAACAGCGAACTGTCATCATTGTGAATGGACAGGGTTTGTGTAACTGAAAATCACATTAGTGGTGCTTACTAAGAGCTAACGTGGTAAGTAATCAGAGTGTTTTCCTCCACAACACATTATTTCTAGGACAAAAAGAGGTTTTATTTATGGCATTCTAGCAGCAGTCCTCCTTTGGGATCCCAGATCTTCCAGTGTGAGGGAATAATGGGGTGAACAAGCCAGACCAAAGATTGCATGGGCCATAAGAATTTGGTGTTCTTTGTTAGGAATTCCACATAGGTATGACATTTCATAATTGTTTTGTCTAATTAAACAAAAGAAAAGCATCTCTTTAGCATCTCCATGTCATCCCTGTGCATATACATGTTATGTTACTACATTAATACCTTTTCCCTCTCCTGAAATGTAAGTTCCATGAGATCAGGGACCATGTCTTAACTTAGATTTTGTCTCCCTCTGCCCCCAGTACAGGGTTCACACATAGTAGGAACTTAATAAATGTTTGATAAATGAAAAAATGAATAAATGAACATGTATAACCTCCCACCCTGTCCTGATTAGTGAGAATTTGCTATATCTCGCCAGTGCTACCTACTTGACAATGCTTCCACACATCTTCCTGCCATGTCACCATGTGAGAGACATCATTATACCCTTCTAACTGAACCTCTAGCTTCTCTCTGGGTCCATACTGTCCTGAGAGGGGAGAGTTTTACTTTAATTGGCAGCTAGTCTCCTTAAATCCCATTCAAATTCGACTCTCTTGCTCCAGGAACAGTAAGCAAATGAATGGTACTAATGCTTCTTGAAAGGACGCGTCAATAAAATGCTTTATGATTCTATTCATCATTTCTTTGAATTCATGAGCTAAAGCAAGCCCCTAGATATTACCCTTGTTTATATGTTGTCTCTTCATATAAGAATGTAATTTCTTGAGGGCAAGAATCATTTCTCTTTTGCATTTGTATCTGACACATAGTAAAAGCTTAATAAACACTTTCTCATTAGTCGTTCATTCATTCATTGTCCATTATCTTCCCTATTCATTTTGTTTTTATTAGTAATACTACAAATATGAAAGTCAACATTAAAACATATTGAAGAACAAAACAGTAACTATAAAAACTGTCTCATTTAATTTTTAGTTTGTCTTTTGTTTGTATGTTTTTGTTTTTACCAGATAGAGAAAAAGAAATCTGTATATCTCATCCAAAGTAATCCCCACAGTATAAGTTAGGAGGAAGGTATATGATTTGAATTTATTTTTAAAGAGCATATATTTCTTAATTTCAAAAATAAAGTATTTGAAAGTAAGGAAAAAGCCAGAGAAATTTGTTGTTTATTCTCAAAGAAAAGACTTAAAGGAAGTCAACAAACTACTCCTAAATTCCATCTATTTATTAACTCACTATACAATGTCATTTCAACTTACATTTTGTCTTCATTCAGTAAGGTTCCTCCGTATGGGTGGCTATACAGTGTTATTCCTATAGAAGAAATGTCAAAATATGAGTATTATTACTATTATATGTATATTATTGTGTTTTGTATAAGATTGTTTGTAACAGAAGATGCAAGACAATATAGATTCCAAGATCTCTACCCCTTCCCATTTCAATGTGTGATTCTTATATCTGTTTTCTCATAAATCCTTCATACAAGATCTGCCCAAAGTGAATAAAACCTTCTTATTATTCCTTAATGTCCAATGATTATCAATGCACAACTAAGATTGTATCATAAGGAAATTATTAGTCCTCCAGAATGTTAAAATAAGAAATAAATAGCTCTAATCAAACAACATCCAAATTTGCTTCAGTTTCTCAGGACAGAAATTATATTCTAAAACCCAATGGAACACAGAAGTATTGGACATTGGCAACATTTTGATATAGACTAAGTTTGCCTTGATAACAATAGCATCTTTTTTCAAGTTCACCAAGAGCTGATAAATTAATCTTCCCTGAGGTGTTAAATGGATGATAAATTGTTTAAGGTGTTACCCTTCCAAGGGTATTTGCAAATTAAGTTTGGAGACAAAAATGATTTAGCACAAAAAATAGAATATAAACCTCAGGGTAGAATTTAGACACTTTGACAGGCTATTGGAGACTTAATGGGGGAGAAAGGAAGGAAAGAATGGAAGGGGACTCACACAAATTACATGCGTATGCCACTGTCATATTCATTCATCCTCATATAGAAAGGTTACTAAATGAGCATACATGGAATACAACACAAAAAGAACAGAAAGGGAACATGACACAATTGGAAAAAATAGATCCACTCAGAGACCATGAAAACACAAAGTTAAGAGTAGAGGAAAAAAAACTTCTCAGCAGGGATACATTTCTCAATAAACAAATTTCCACTTGAAAAGCCATATCCAAGAAAAGAGCATATTCTTACTGTAATGCCCCTCACTCCTTGAGAGTATTCCAGTCAAGGTCTTCCCCAACATTCTTTGGAGCATGTGCAGATATTCACTGCCTGCTCCCCAGAAATTGCAAAGAAACTTGAACTTCTGAATCATCAACTGATAAAGATGATGATGACTAGGATTATAACTGACATTTATATAGAACTTTAAGCTTTGCAAAGCACTTTATACATCTTATCTAAGTTGATCTTCATACCATCCCCATTAGTTAAGTGTTATTATTACTCACATGTTATAGATGAAGCATTTGAAGCTGAGAGTAGCTAAGTGATTTGCCCAGGATCACACAGCTGATGTCTGAGGGATAACTTGAACTCATGTTTTCATAACTCTAAGTCCAATACTGCGTCCCCTAGGCCACCTAGATATCCCACTCCTCCCCAATAATTTCTGACCCAGAAAACCTGATGACAAAGGGTGCTACACCAGGGAGAAAAAAAAAGCAGCTTCTAACTGAGGGTCTCTTAAGAGACAGTTATCAAGAAGGGAAGATGTGACTTCAGTTGTGGATGGAAGAAGAAAGAGCTTTCTCTATCTTGATATAATAGAGGGTCAGGTGCGATCTGATAAACCCACTGATAAAATAGTGGGTCAGGAGAGATGGTGAGGAGAGGTGTGTGTCTCTCCTCCACACTATATGAAACTTGAGCTTAACTGGCCAGGGTTATACTAGGGCCCTCTGAATGTCTTGCCTTTCTTTTTGTTTTTCCTTTCCTCTAGGATCAGCCTAGAGTATATCAAAAGGTCCTGGAAGGCCAGATAGTATTCAAAAGAAGCAATCATGGTTACTGGAGCTATGACAAATGCAATAACCACAGAAATGGACTGAAGACAAGGAAAAGAGTAATCATCAGAAAGGAAAAGAGGAGATTATGCTTGACGTTTGATGTAATGGTGCTCAGCTATGCTGAAACGTAAAATAGCTAATTAACCACTTAGCAAAGTAACTATTTGTTTTCCCAATGGGGCTTGAATTGTACTAGATTAAAGATTAGATGTCCCAGAATAAGGTTTAAGTAGACTAGAAAGGTATGAGGGGGCTAGATCTACATATTTATATACTTATAAGTACATACAAATTACATACAAAATAAATATAAGCTAATTTCATGGTACAGAAGGGCACTAGCAGCTGGAGAGAAGAGGAATCCAAAATGGCCTAATGGAAGAACTGCTGTTGGTGCTAAGCTTTGAAAAGAAGCTAGGGATTCTCAGAAGCAGCTGTAATAACCCTCATTAGAGCCAAATGCTTAAAATGGCTCCATTTTGAGTAACCATTTTATTTCACAATTCCAAAAGAATAAACAACTTCGTATTTTTGGATATGTCAATGTTCAAGTATCTTTAGGTTTTGAGTACAATTAAATAATTAGCAGTAGGGGATAAAATGCCAAGAGAGGAATCTCTGAGAAGAACCTATTCAGTTCTCCTTTCTCCTTTTATTGATATAACTCACTTCAACCATCCTATATTTTCACAAGCTGTATATAGATGCCTTTCAGTCCACCAAAGTTTGTCTAATAAGTGTCAAAATGAGAAATCTGTGTGTCCTGGGAGGGGGAGGATATTAAAGTGTCTTGCATGTGTGTCCACTGGAAATTTTTAAGCCTTAACCATAATACATGTGACTTGAGTTAGAGCAAAATAAATATCCATATGACATAGTTAATGGGTAGTTTGGTAATCAAGATAATATATTTATATAGGATAACATTAAAAATTAACCCCTATTGCTTCTTCCTGCATTTTGTATCTTTGATTGTGGTTTGCCTTACCTATGGCTAGATCTGGGTCTCCACATCCCCATTCCTTACTAATCATACAAGTTAGGAAATCCCATATTCTCCAGAAAACCTTCTCCAATTGGATGAGTGATGATCATTAGCTGAGATAATGCTCATTTTTATCTCCACTCAACAAAGTTTTAATAAGTAAGCTAAATGCTATATTTACAGCATCATGCATCAAGATAAAAGCTACCACTTATATATTATATAATGCCTTAAGGTTTTCAGTGTTTAAAAACATTGTCTCATTTCAGCTTCCCTACACCCCTAGAGGTAATTATTATTATCCCAATTTGACAGACAAGGAAACTGAGACAGGCAGAGGTTAAATAATTTGCCCAATGTTACAAAGATGGTAAATATTTGACACTGGATTTGGACCTATGTTTCCCTGATACTAGGTGAAGCATACTAACCACTGAGCAATGTAGCTGCCTTTATGATTTATATAGGGATACATAGATATAGGTGTGTATATATATATATATGTATATATATATATATATATATGCATACACATATAAATATATGTATACATGCATATATGTATAAGTACACAAAATCTCATTTAACCATAATATGTAAGAGAATTTCATCATGTCATCCCAGCGTATGTGGGAATTCCTTAAGATGAAATCACCTTACCTGAAAAAGGTACTTTATCCTACTGGTTTTTATAATAGTGATTTCTATGTAAAGGTTCACAAAAGGTTAAGTTCTGACACAGCTGAGATTTCTTTAATTTTAATCTATAATAAAAATTCAGTTTTGAATATAATCCTTTTATCTGTTACAAATGTATGCAAATTATTCAGTAAATGCCTACAAGTTAAATAAATACTAGACGGAAGAAAAAGGAGTGAGGTCTCCTCATGAAGATGAAAAGGTCATAGAGTGGAAAAAAAAAATTCCCCTTAATAGGAAAAGGCTGATCGATGGGTTTCATGATCATCAGAAACATTGTATTATGACTTAACTAATTCTCTCTCTGTCTCTCTCTGTGTCTGTCTTTCTGTCTCTCTGTCTTTCTCTCTGTCCCTCCCTCCCTCTAAAGGAACAAGGATGTGATGGGGAGGGGGATTTGTAAAGACCAACTAGGACCTTATTTCTGAGAAGTAGTTTAATGGGAAATTAGAGATATTTTGTTCAATATAATAAAAAACTAGAGGGAAGCCACCTGTGTTGTTAATACAAAAATAGTCATAAATCCCCAGATCCCAAGAAGGTTCTAAGTTAAAAGATTCTACTTTTAATTTATTTCTACTTAAGGCTGGCTATAGAATCAGGGTCACATTATACAGTGACTGAAAACAGTTCAACATTTCGCGAAAATAATAACTAGGCATTTACAGTTTGCTCCACTTGTGATCCTTTTAAAATATCATGGTTAGCTTAATATCTGTTTATGTTTCACTACTACCTTTCATGAAGGCTATGAGCTTAGCAAAAGCAGAAAGAAGTACCCTGCATCTCACATCTCTGTACCTTTGGGATTCTGTGTCCCATACCTGGAATACATTCCCTTCTCACCTCCAATCTTGAGATCTTTTGTTTTCCTTCAAAGTTCAACCCAATTGCCATCTTCTACATTAGGAGTTCACTGATCTTAGCTGTAAGTGCCTTCATCTGTCCAAAATTAACTCGAATTTATTATGTATATGCTGCGCGTATATGAAGGTATGTATAGGTTGTGTGCTCTCTCCTAGAGAATGTAAGCTCTTTCTGGTCAAGGACTATGCCATCTGTGCATTCATATTCCCTATTCCTAACATTGTCCCCAGTACATAACAGGTACCTAATGAATGCCTGACTGATTTGTGCTTAGTTATTTTATAAAGGTCTCTATATTTTATGTAAAAAGGAGAATTGAGCAAATTCATACATTTTTACAAACTATGGTATTATAGAGAGGCAACTTAGCATACTAGATAGTTGGCCTTGGATTCAGGAAGACCTAAGTCCAACTTCTATCTGTGCAGGCCATTTCATTTCTCAGTACCTCAGGAAACACAGTAATATGCATTGCAGAAAAGTAGCTGGCCTGCATTGGTAGAGGGAGATTACTGACCAGAATTCCTTACACCAATGAAGTCACCAGTCTACAACTAAAAAGGGAAGAGGGGTAGGGGGGAAGGTGTTGACCTAGCTACTTACCACAAAACAAACAAAATAAAACAAACAAAAAAAACACTAATTTTTTAAAGTACACCTGGTGGCAGCATATCCAAATTGCAGAAAAGGGGGAGGGAAGTGAATCTTG